GAACCATGGATGGGGAAATGTTGGCAGTTTTCTCAAAAAATGCTTGAATTCAAGAAGTTTTAGATTTGCGTGGTTTTTTTTTAGTTGCAAAATCCCATGACCATTCTCATGACCCCCATGACCCCCCCCTGGATGCGCCCTTGGTATCGAGTGACTTTATGTCAGCTTTCTGAAGAGTATGTAGAAAAACCAACTGATTTTCCAATTGTTGCTCTATACAGGGTGTCCAGCAATTACTCAGGTACCCGAAAATAAGACGATCTAGGCAGACTTTCTTCTCCGTCCTCTGAACGTTGACAATAAAGTAAGCTGGCGCCTCGTCGTGCATTTCGGTTCAAAGGTGTGAAAAAAGATCTTTTCCCCAATCAGGTAAAGTGTTTTCCAATTTCAGGGACACCCTGCATATTCCAATTTGGCTTAACAAATTATGTTAGCACTTTATGAAGGTAACGTGTAAGATTTCGCTATTAAAATGACATAAACGAAAATTAGGCAAACGTTTGGATTTAATCAGCCTAAAGGCCAATAGTTAGTGTTTGGTTGCAAATGGGACATTTATGAACGAAAATGCGGCAATGCGAGTGGAAATGGCATACGTTACCGGTTTCAGGGTATCACAACAGCATGAAGAACACTCCTTATTACACGCTGAATCCGTATGTTACTTTGTACCACGGCATTTCCTGTACACAAACGTATATTTTCCTCAGGTAACGGTATCGGAGTGATTCTTCGTACTTCCTCGTTTTACTCTTGCTTAATTACATCGCGGAACAGTGACGTTCTGCTTTATTCAAGTGCCCATCCCATAACAAAGTGGTGGCCTGATGAGCGAACACACAGAAAAACATCCAAGAAGCAACAAAAGCACCAAGGGTCGAGTGAAGGAACTTTTCAATCTTCTTCGTTTCTCGATAAATGCTTCATAAAGTGAAGAACAATGAAACTTTTGAGAGAATGCGGGATCAGTAAGTGTTCTCTTTTGGAAATTATTGGATGTTTCTAATCTGTTAACTTTCGGGCAACAATTAGCTCTCTGGGTTTTGTTGGCTAAACTTTGTAACAGCCTTAACAAAAGGCGCCTGAACCCCAAGGGCTACATTTCCTCGGGAATCTCCCTTGTTCTCGATGGGTGTCGCCAAAAGGCTTTCAACGCCTTTACAACCTGGTTGGTTGGGAACTTGTAAATTTCTTCTCATTTGGGCTCTTTTCCTGTAGCCAATTAGCACCTTTTTCTTCTGTCAGTTGTATTGAAGACTATCTTGGTGTTCTGTCCATGATGTCCGGCGTTGATCGCATGCAGAGAAGATCTATTTATAGAAAATGAACGATCGTCGCTTGTAAATTGGCCGCGTTTTCCGCAAATAACGGCGCCAGCCGCATAAATGTGTAAAAAATTTAATGACCCTATTTTTCCGCTGTAAATTATCGACAGGTAATTGGCGTCGAATTGATTGCGACAATTCTTAATTGTGTTATGTCATCGCAAAATTGCCTCGCTCCAGTCGCAGCAAGGGGCAGCTTGATCTTAAGTTATGCTTTAAGTTGCGCTCATTAGCTTTACTCTCTACGGCGATCCGTGAGGAAATTTTCTCGTGCTCATTCGTTTCATTGAAAGGTTTAATAC